TCCGTCCTGGTAAACCTTCTCCTCAGTGACCTTGCCCCTGCCGACTCACACACACCCCCCCAGTGCTGCGCCCTGGGCACTGGAGCCCAAGGTCCGCTCATCAGAGGGCAGCTCTAGGCCAGGGCTTGGCAGACCTTGGACCCTGCGCCTGCTCACCGCCTCCCAGGCGCTCTGTGGTGGACGAATGGCCCCCCTGCACCACTGCCCCCACCCCCCCGTGGGAACATAAGCTCGACTTGTGGTGGGGAGGTGGGGGAGGGTAGAGTCTCTGTGCCAAGACTGACCGTGCCGTGGGCTGGGGTTTTCTGCCACTTGGCGGGGTGCCCGTGAAGCCGGCGAGCCCAGCGGTCCTCGCCTGAGCCGTACGCTCATCTGGACCCTTCTGTTGGTTTCTCTCCGCTGCAGCTCCCGCCCGCCCAGGAGGAGCAACTTCCGGAGCTGTTACCGCCCCCGGCTGTGTAATATACTTGTATAACAGAAATACCTTCTATACAAACCTTTTTTTCTACTTTTAGATAGAAATGTCTACTTTTTCAGCAGTTCTGTGAATTGATTAAAGAGCCGCGTGACTGGATCTGGCTGGCTGGGTCACTGGGGAGTGTGTCACACGTAGGCTTGACAGGCACGGGACGGGGCAGGGACAGAGTGCCTCGAAATTGCTTTCTTTTTTAAAAATTAAAAAAAAAATCAGATCGGCCGGGCCAGCAGCCCCGTGCAGTGCAAATCCTCCCCCGCGGGACAGCCTCGCCTCCCTCCGGAACATCGCAGGCCGGCCGGCCGGAAGAAGCCACCTGTTAGGATTCGGCGCTTTAGTTTGGGTTTGGTTTTGTTTTTCTATCTGGGACGGGGAAATCATTTAACGATCCTTTGTTCACGGCTCTCCTTACTGACCGAGTGAACAATTAGTATCTGTATATTTGACTAAACCTTTTCCTAAGCTATCTACCGTGGTTCATATGTTTGTTTTCATCACCGTTAAATAAAAACCGACCACCGCCACAAGACAGCCACCTGGACCCCAGGCAGCAGGCGTCAGGCAGGCAGGCGGAGGGCAGTTCCTGGCGGGCGGTCACGGCGG